ACTGGAGGCCGTGGCTATCACTCTAAGGGGTCTGGACCCAAGGAAGAATGTCAACCCGAGTGATGGATTAAGGAGTCTCTTCCTGAGGATGGTGCAAGGAGGCCAGATATCCATCTGTCCCGGCTGGCCCTCTGCCGGGTGGGGGTGGGGGTGGGCATGGGGAGGAGAGCAAGCGGACTCTCCGAGATCCCTATCAGCCGCAGCCAAACACTAGAGAACATTAGAAGGGTCCTGTAAAGCATTCAGAAATGACAGGCCATCGGCCTAAAATGTATCTCTAAGATGTCAATGAGATTTATTTACCAGCAAAACACCATTCTTCTCCACTAAGATGGCTACATGGGAGGAGGCCTTCTCACCAATATAGAGAAATAACTTCCATTTAAAATTTTAAAAAAAATTTAAAAACCGATCCCAGCTTAATATACTGATGGGTTTCCTCTACAAAGTCCCACATTTTTCATTCATTCTTAAAAATGAACCCACTGAGCCTTGGGTGGTGGGCCGGCTCTGAGGAAATACTAATCAAGCAAGACAAGAGCGCATGCCCAGAAACACAGAAGGGCCGCTCTTTCGACGTCACTACTCCTCCGGACGTCGCGGCCCTATAGGAATTAAGAAGTGCTTGGAAAGGGTGTGTTTTCTCTTAACCAAATGCAAAATAAAAAATTCTAATTATCACTGTTACGCTCTGTGGAGTCACCACGGGGCCCTGAATATGTTTTCCTTTTATTCACCAGTAGGTGTCAGAAGAAACTCATTAACAAAAAAAGCTTCAAAACTGCTGACCTGAAGAAAGCAATTTCCCCTTGTGTTCAGATTTTTCAGTTAACGATATTTTTAAAAGTAAAAATTGCAAATGTTCAGAACTCATCTCTCGAGCAGCTACCTAATGGTTATAATTCCTGAGACTACCAGCAAATAAGATCAACAATATCACAACAAATAGATTTTTGTTGCAATATCCATAGTAAACACATATCGTACAGGAAATTCCATTGCATTTACACCATTTATTTAATAAAAATAATCTCTGCGATTATTTGCATTTATTTCTGAAGGAGGATGTTTTTCCTTCCTCAGAATAAGTTCAGGAAATGGGTGAAGTGTTCAGGAAGTTAGCTAAATGCTGATGTAAATCCAAAAGGAAGGCCTGTTGTTTAAAAAAAAGAAAAAAGCGGGGGGACCAAAAGAGCTAGGAAGTGGTTCTCTCTTTCACTTATGGAAAATGTTATACAGAATTTCTGATTTAAAAAGGAAGAGGACTAGGAAAAATGTGCGTGCCCGTGATACCTTTTTCCGTGGGTCCAGTTAGGCAGTCCAGACTTTTACTGATAACAAAACAGTAGCCGGCAAACAAAACTGTCAAGAAACAAAATCTAGATGGGAGATGTGACTGAGATTAAGTTTGCACTCAACTACGCCCTTACTATGGAATTCGTCTCAGCTATTCTAGGAATTATGTCTTGATAGGAAACGAACTCTGAGACCGAAAGAGGCGATGGGGCCCCTGAGCACTGCATAAACAACTAAACACCACCCTCTCCTCCATAGGACCCTGTCCCTTCCAGCCACCAACAAATGGTGTCATGCTGATCTGAGGACTGTGAGGGAAAGAGACTCACTAGGGGAAACCCTATCTCTCCAGGGGTGCTTGGCTAGGGTTGCAATCTGCTTCTGCCCTGTGCTGAGGAGGTTGTTACTTATCTCTGCTTGCAATGTAGGGAGTGAGCTGTATTGGGTGTATAGAGCAAACATAACACCCCTCCCTCTGAAACACTAGTAGTGTAGAAAGCAAAGATTCAGCTCACTGAACAGTGCCATGGAGGACGCTTGTTTGTTGTGGTTTCTCTGAAAACCAGTCTCTCCTTTCCATCCTTTTGCCACCAGCTTCCTTCGGCCTTCGTCTTGTTGCATCCACACTGGCAGCTGCCTGGCCTCCAGCTTGCCTTCTCTGCAGTCACAGGCCACAGCCAGGGCGAGCCCTGTAAGGGATGAGAGCCTTCCTTGCCCTCGGACGTTGGCTGGCTCCCCTGTGCCCAGCACAGGCGAGAACAACCTCCAAGGCCTTCCGTAACTTGGCCTTGGCCCACCTTCTGTCCCACTCCAAGAATCTCAGGCTCCAGTTACACTGAACGACTCACTGCCCTGAGACTCCCCACAGGCAGTTCTCAGTCCAGTTGATCACACATTTATTCCTTTCACTCTGGGTAACTGAGGACATGAGGTCTGACCACATAACTTTGTTTAGCTTCTGTGGAGCAGTCTCTTTAGATGTACAGAATTATGACAAGAGACAAGTGAGAGAACGAGGCCCAGAGGATACAAAGCAGACACACCTACACAAACCGCCTACCCGGTGCAGGAGTCATAAATCGACACGTGTGCTAGAAAAGATGTTCAGAAGGGGGCACTTAGTTGGTCTGATGGTTAAATGCCTCCAGTGACACAACCTGAATAAACCTTAATTTTAATTTTCTGCATATTGAATTCAGAGGACAATCTTTGTGAGCAAATCAAGCCTTTAAAGAGCCATGGTCTCTCCTCCCTTTTCCCTCTTCCCCAGATCCCCACTACACAGTTACCCACTGAGGCAGATGTGTCCTTGCAGAGGCGAAATGGTGAGATGACGACAGTTTAGGAAATGTTTTTCTGTTGTGCTCGGTACTCAGAAGCTGTTCTGTCCAAGGTAAACCAACAAGGCCCTGGAACTTACGTTAGGAAGCAATGACAGACACACATGTGATAGGACCAGCAGCACTGATCCTTTATGGGGTTGGGGGATGGGCACATGGTTTGCTGCCATAAATTTCTGCAGGGGAAGGTTGTGTCTTATTTACCTTGGTGTCCTCTACAGTGCCCCCCACCCAGAACAGTGGCTGTCACAAGATGGACCCTCACTCAGCTATTCAACAAATATTTACTTGCAGTAGAGGATCTGTTTTTCCACGGAGGTTTAGGCTTGTTAATAACAGCTGGATTCTTTCTCTGTCATCTGCACTTTTGGACTCTGAGCTGGACCTAGTCTTGCCCGGGTTTTTTATAACCACCCCTCTCTCCCTTCCCAAGCCAGTATTCCACCTCCAATAAGTTCCCAGCAAATACTGGTTGGGGGAGGAGGAGGTAACGTAACAAAAAGCAACACAGTGGGTCGGGGATCATCCTGAAATCCATCTTTGAGGCCAGAGAATTTTTCTCTGAAGCTATTGTCCAATCTTGTTTCCAGAAACTCCTGCCTCTGTAATGGCTCTAGTTGTTGTCGCCTTTGGTTACTTTCCTATGCTGGCTGCATTTGTCACCAAAGCCCTTCAGTTTCCCCACTTAACAAGGCAAAAAACCTCCTTTTCTCCTAAACCTACCTTTCTGGTCTCCAAAGACACTCCTGAAACTTACGTTTAGAGGGCATACAGGTGGGCACCTTGGGGTGCTCAGAGGGATTCTCAGGGGATGGAGCTATGAATGGATCGTTACAAACGATGCAGCGGAAGCTCCCAGAGTGGAAAGCACAGAGGCGTAACCATACCAACAGCAAGAAGGAAAAGGAGACAGGACGTGGCGGGCGGGAGGGTCAGGGACATCTTCCCAGGAAGGAGGACCTGAGACTTCAATCTTGAAGGAAGAATTAGATACAACCTAGATGAAGAAAGAGGGAAGGGGCTTCCGGGCAAAGGGAAACATACCAAAAGGCAAGGGAATGGGAGGAAAACAATGGAACTAGGTTTCCTGTGTGACTTATCAATTTCATCTCATTGCTTTATATTCTAACCATTCACCTCAGTGCAAGTGAAATGACGTTAACCCTCAGGCATTTTAGAATATTTAAATAGCCAATCACTTAATCTCTTAAAAAGAAGGGCATTGATAAGGTGGGCTGGTCAAGAGATTAAGCAGGTTCTTGGTTGAAACCAGGATTGGGTGCTTATGGGAAACCATGTGGGAGGCTGGTGAAAATCAGGCAATTAATGTGAAATGTAAAACCTTTTTTTTTTTTTTTTTTATTCTCTCTTCTTAGGTGTTTGAGAAGTTGGGATTCTTTGTTGGGTAGACAGATGAGTCCATGGTTTCCCTTAGCCTAAGGATGAGACAGAAGAAGAGTTCAGGGTGATTCTAGGAATTTCAGGTGGGGCCGAGGTCTATTTCAAAAGCCTTTTTGGACCCAGCCTTTGTAGGTCCTACACCCCAGCTGCAAACCAAGGAGAGGGCAACGCCCTTCTCGGAGTGGGGTTTATTTCTGTTCACAGAACCTCGGAAGACAGGAGGCCAAGGCTGACCTTTTAGTCAAGAGTCAGCTCAACTTTAAAATTATGATTGCATGTGAAAGCTAAAATGGGAAAGAGAAAAAAATCAGTTCTCAGAACAGAAATGCTAAAAACCCTTGGGCCACATTCCAGGCCAGGCTCCCGCCCTGCACCAGCGCCCCCGCCCCGGGGCCAGTGGGCAGGAGACCAGCCCAGCCCAGCTCCAATCAGTTGAGTGTCAGGGATCATGGGGTTTATTCTGGAGGTGCTCAGTTTACAGATAAAGAAACTGACCAGAGCAATTATGCTAGACAATCCTTAAAAAAACAAAAGCTCGTGGCCAGGTCTTATTATTGAGAGAGTTGTCTGCTAAAACATTTACCAATTTCCAATGAACTACAATATTTATAGTAATTAAAGAAATCAGAGGAAAAGAGGCTAGAAGCCTGAAACCAAGGTTTTGCTAAGGTTGGCTCCTATTGGATGCCCTCTCCTAGGTTCAGGTGGTTGCAGGCAACCCCTGTGTTCCATGCCTGGCCTACAGCGACATCACTCTGACCGCTGCCTCTGCCTTCACATGCTATTCCCTCCCTGTGCATGCGTCCAAATTTCCCTCTTATTACAAGGACACCAGTCATTGGATTGAGGCCCTCCCTTATCTAGTATGATCTCATCTTAAATTGATTATGTCTGTAAAAACCCTATTTCTGAGTGAGTTCACGTTCACAGGCATGGTGGTTAGAACTTCAACATGTCTTTCAGGTGGACACAGTTCAACTCATAGTGGAGTATGAAACAAAACAAAACAAAACAAAACCAAAACCCTGGGCAAGGCGTGAGAAGACCTGGCCATCCAGCCCGCTGCCCCCCATTAGGGTCCCCGGCACTCTCGAAGTTTCAGTCCTCCTTGTGAAAGCAAAGCAACTCCTGCCCCGCTTACTCACAGAGAATAAAATAATGTTTAAAACATATTTTCTATATGGAAAGTATTTCTACAAGTGCAAGGGATTATTATAAATTCATTTCAGACCGTGTTGACTTTTCCTTCACTCCATAACTACTTAATGAGTAGGTAATAAAATGAGAAACGCAGCCTTACAGGGAAAATAATTGAAATTACATGTTTCCCTTCATTTATGCTCTGAGATAAAAGTACAGCAATCTGCGGAGGGAGAATAGTAGTGCAGATCCTGTGTCCTGCGCTTTTCACTCACACAGATAAGGGTGGTATTTAGGTGAAACTAAGGGGCAGAAAGCAATGGAAAAGGCAAACCGAGAAGGGGAATGTTCTCCTCTGGGCCATCAGCAGACATCCCCGGTGGCAGTGACTCCCCTCCCCTCTGTGTGGCCCACGACAAGGCCCTGATAATGGCTTTGAAATTGCTTTGTCTGATGGCTTTTCTCGGTATGGGAACACCCAACTTATAAAATCAGCTAAAAATGACATTTTCCTGGTTGACTGATGTGACATGCCCCCATAGCATTGTATAGCCAGAAAAAAAAAGTTAAACCTGCAGTTTAAAAGAGAAAAGTCCCTTTCTCTTTGGTAAGAGGACTGAAACTCTAGCAGTGAAAGGGAAAAAAATTTTAAGGCCACCAGATGAAGTCAAAGGAACTTGGAAGGTATATAAAATGATTTTCACACACACTGGGAATGCCAATAAGAGGTGTCATGCATGACGACTTGAGAATTACAGTTCTGTCCAAAGCATCATGTGTGTCAGTGACGACCACAGTCATGATAGATTCTGTTGACCTGGGACCTTGGGGGTTTGCTGACCCAGGAGAAACCCAAAGGGGAAAAACAGCACCAGCAAAAAGAAACAAAGAAGCTCTCAGAAGGAGGTTCTCCATCTGCCCTGCAAGTAGAATTCTCTGTTTTTCACTGCTGGGTACATGTACTTCCCAGGGCTATTATACACCTTCAGGAATATTCCAACCACACACAAGGTAATAAACAAAAGTTTATTTTCTTTAATACAAAAATTAAATAGCAAAGTTTTTTTTTTTTTACACAGCGATAAATTAGAAATTTACAGTACAGACATCAATGCAGACATACGTTTATACATCCCTAAAAGCAGGGTCCATTTCCTTCAACGTTCAGCAATTTGTTTAGGGGACACGGAGCAGGGATTTGCCTGGTACCTCTATGTCGAACAGCTGAAAGTCCCCAGGGTGGCCTCAAGGTGGCTGGAGTGCAGGGTGGCCAGGGGTCCAGAAAGAGGCCCCGGAGCACAGGCCTGACTGCGGCACGAGCAGGTCGAGTCACATTTCATCTCTTCACAGATCACTGCTGCTATTCATTCCGCCCTTTCTACAAAGAGCTCAAGGGGCCTTCACCTTCAGACCTCTTAAAGCCTTACAACATCTCTGTGAGGTAGAAAAAAATTCAGAACCACCAAGATGCCCCTCCCAACGCCCACAGCCGAGGCAGGGCCCGGGCCCGTCAGCAGAGCGTGGAAAGGCGCACGTCTGGAAGAGAAGGCAGACCTGGCTGTCCCAGCGCAGAGCTGCCCCGGGCCCTCTTCTCGGAAGCCTTCTGGGATGGTGCTGATCATGTACTGAACATCCTAGGGGACCAGGGGGCTACAAAATTTGAAGGACAAAGCTCATACAGGATCCCAAACAGGCCCACTACAAAGTGCCTGGGTGAATACTGAGAATGTGCTGGTGCAAAGAAGAAGGGAAATAGGTAAACTGGAAACAGAAGGAAGCTACTATAGGGCCACTGGCTTACCAAAGGGCAAGTCCTGTTGGGGGGAATCCTGGGTTCACCTCCCTTTCCCAGCTGCCACTAACTGCACATGTGCGTGGCAAGAAGCCGCAGCAGAAAGCTCTGGCCAGGCCACGGTGAAGCGAAATACATTATTTAAGCCTCTGGTATCTGATCCCAGGTAGGAGCAAAGTGCCCTCCCAGGAGTTTCCAAGATCTACAGGGCCTAGGCCCAGAGGAAAAATGATAACCTGGGTCCTTTGCCAGACATGATACAAACCCAGCGAGGGACGCTGAACCCAAATAAAATAAAGGAGGGAAAAAAAAACTTGCCCAAGTCCAGTGACTTAACATAAGGGGCTGACACAGCAACTCTTCCCCAGTCTCCTCCCTCCCAGAACGAATGTGAGGATGTAGATGTGCTGGGTGGTTCTCTTCCCTGGCTACTGCTGAGGGCACCTCACCAGAAGTCACAGAAGCCAAAGACTGTACCATCCTGGTAAAGTCACTTGCAACTGAGTGTGCCTTCCAGGGCTGAGTTCCTCCTTGAGCCCTCAGGTTCCAGCGTGGATCCCAACACAGTGAGCACTGGATTCAGTGTCCAGGAGGCTGAGGGGGGCCAGAGAGGACAGAGCCGGGGCTGCTGGTAAAGTCACAGTTCAGAAATGGAGACAGAATATTTCCCTCATTCTGGGTTTGGAGAGTGTGAGTGAGGGAGTGACCCAGGCAAGAAAAGTCAGAGAGCATCTCAGGGAAATGAAAAGTGTTACCCCTTCTCCAGTTTCAGGTCCCCGAGCAAGCTGCCAGCTCAGAAGCAGTCTCAGAGATCAGGAAACAGGTCCCCATAGAGGAAAAAGGATAGGAATCAACCAAATAGTTCAACCAGATGGTTCTGGCCAGTTCCACCCTACTGCATGTCCCCTGGTCCTGGGATGCGGGGGCAGGGAGGGGTCCTTCATGAAGGAGAAAGGAGTTTGCCAGAGAGGAGGCTGGATAGATGTGCCCTTTGGCTCTGCTGAATAAAATCTCTGGAAGCCAGGGCTCTGTGCAGGAAGCTATAAGCATCTATACTTACACTAGACTTCAGAGAAAAGAAAACCCAAACTTTTTTCCTAGCAAGATACTGTCCACAAGTGTACCTGGGCAAATCACATGGAACACCCCAAGCTGGGAATTGCCTGCCCCAAAGCCACATTTGATGTGGGAGCTCACGTCCTTATAGCCAATCTTCATAGTCTTCCTACAAGATTCCCACAAGACCATCGTGAGACAGAGCTGATGCCTTCCGGCAGGACCCCTGTCATTGATTGCAGGGAATTCTGGGAAGGAATCGGAGATGCATTAAAGATGGTATAAGACCAAGAAGAGGTTTAAGGGATGGAGACAGTGAAAGAGATGGCAATTCAGAGACATCCGCACCTTTCCAAAATGAACAGCAAAGTTCTGCAGGCCCAGGGGCATCCCAGTCCAGGTCAGGGAGAATGGAGCTCATGGTCCGTGGCATCTGCTACAGAGCCCAACACAGCGCCTTACGCACCGTTGGCACTTAAGCAACATGTGGATAATTGACTTTTTTTTTTTTAAACATAACCAAGCTAAGAGGCGATGGAGTCACTTCAGGCTAATTGGTAACTGACTCAGCCACAAGCTCCTTTCCTGAAACCATAAACACTCTCCATTGTCTGGAATGCGGAGGGAAAGGCCTCTAACCCTGTGGCATTGCTAAGGCTACGAATGGGCCTGCACCCACAGTCACTTCTGACCAAATACACTTTCCCCTGAGAAGGTGAGAGATTTGTAGGAGAGACAGGTTAAAACCCAAAATGTCAGGGCACCAGCTCCAGAACTTGGTTCACTCAAGTATCCATATTGTTAGTATTATTATTTCACGCTTACAAATATTGAGCACCTACTGTGTGCCTGGCCCTCTGCTAGGTGCTGCCTTGGTCACACAATCCCCAAACATTACGAAGAAAATTGTATTACAAACCCTAGTGCCCAGCGGCACGGTCTTTCCCTTGCCTGGACCACAGGCTCTGCACAACTCCCAAGACACTAGAGCAGAGCGTGAGTAAGGGCAGACTCTGCCCCCGGGTGCATGCTCCAGGGCCCTGGCCAGCTCTGGGAACTGTCTGCAAGCAGCACGGGAGTTCACGCTGTACATTTCATAGGCAATGTAATCTCAAATGGAGTTCAACTGGTCCTTCTGAGGATCCTTTCTCATGCTCCTGAAGCCCTGACCCCCGGAGCCAGCCAAGGTACTCAGGCTCAGCTTCAGTGGCACACACAGCAGGGGCCCCGTGTGCCCACTTAGGGACTGTCCCCAAAGCTCCAAGACTTTTCCTTCCAGAACCTGCCATGGACCTTATATACAACTGCATCTCAGACAGCTCAAGAGCCACACAAAAACAGAAGGAAGGAAAGTGTCAAACCATGGGCATCAAGCTCGAACAAACAAAAAGTCACGCTTTTTGGAATTTTGAGTCCCTAGAGATGTTTTCTCACTAAAAAAAAAAATGTGATGAAAGAGCTTTCTTACCTGTTTTTAAAAAGGGGTTGGGGCATGGATAAATAAATAAGCGAGTCATTGCAAAGTAGTTGCTAAAGCAAAGACAGGTAAGAGTTACAAGGAGAGCAACCTGTGAACAGTGTCCACAATTTGTCCCAGAGATCTGGTGATTAGAAGGCCTAAGGTAGGTTAAGGAAAGGCCAGTTACAATTTTAAAAGAACTGCAACTTTTGAGAGGCTGCTAGGGGGTACCCCCTTGTAAAGAACATAAAGCATAAATTTTAAAAGCTCTGGATACCTCTGCAAAAGGCAATTAAGACCTGCGCTGTTAGAGTTTGCAGTTCATTTCATATGGTCTACACTTTATTCCCTACAAACCAATCAGCTCCTGGCTGGCATTCTGGAGATTCATTAAGCACCATATAAATACTCCAGGCCACACTGCCTCCAATGAAATCTTATAAGGAGGCCTTGCCAATTACCGGGAAACAATTATGCACCAAGTAGTTGGATTAGCTGTCCTTGGTTCCCTCCACAAAACTGAAAAAGTCTCCATTGTTGTAAGTAGACCAGACTCTTCTGATAACATTCTTATGCTAAGAGGGAAAAAAAAGGCACTATCATTCTGAGAATGCAAGTTGACCACAGTTTGAAAGTCAGTTGAGTATACTATTATGTCATGGTCCAAGAATGTGCTTTT